CCACTGGTGGTGTTCCCTTTTTTTCAACGAATTTGTATGAAAATGAAGCGGCTGCAACTGAAATGTTTACAACAAGAACCATTGCGTAACTTAGGTCGTACTTCATCTTGTGCAGCTTGCATAAGCTGCTCACTGTATTCGGATACACAATATACACTGCGTTTCATAATTATAGGTCCACCCTAAATTTTTGCTACCCCAAAGTTGCTGTGCATTTTTTGGAAATGCTGCTATCACCGTTAGATTCCTCATCACGGAAAACCTTCATAGTGTTTTTCTGACAAATTCCCCCTCAAGTAACCCAATTAACTTTTTTTAGAACGAATTTTCACCGTTTCATGAATATCGGGCCAATGTTATCCTCATGTTTTCGCACTCTCTTCCAGTAACAAGCTCAAGCTAGAGCACTTACTGAAGTGGGATAGCTGAGGAGCAGAATTTCCTCCCATGTCGGCCGGCTCATACTGCATAAGCGACTATGTGCAAAATCCTGGTCAGTGCGGAGAGAAGAGTCGCTTAGGTAAATAAAGACTGCGTTTCCTTCAAAATTTAGGAGGAATTGGGTGTCTTCTCTCGAATTATACAAGGAGTCCGAACAAAGTCCGTACTGAAATGCGGCCTTCCGTGAGCAAAACCACCGTGTGGTGAGTAAGCCAGCAGAGCAATAACATCTTCAACGGATTGATGAAGAGCGTTCCAAGATTATTTGAGCGCTACAAGATCGCAAGTCTCCATTTCTCCGTGGAAAAGGGCTCAACTTAATGAGCGATGGTGTGGCTGTTAAGACCCTTCGCGATCTTGGACTCTACCTCCTTGTTTCGTTCTACAGGTGGTCTGAGATCGACGTGAAAAGTTTATTCTAGGTGGATATGGCAGAAAAAGAGGGTACAGGATGATCGCGTGAAAATCGCAGATGGTTTCAATGTAACGTAATTTCGGCGGTGAATCCCTTATGGTTTGAGGCACCTTTGAACGACTGAGTAGCTAGAGCTCGCTTTTGTTTCCGTTCACAAAGATTCCAGGGTATCGTGAAGTTCTTTCGAAGCGAGTCTTACCATTTTTTCAACAAGGATCCCCTCTATCCTTGATTTTCACACACGATAACGCGGCTGTCCATGCCGGTCCTCCGCGCCAGATGGAATTGCAGGAAAAAATGTGGCAGTTATCTGGTGGCCACCATGTTATCTGAATTAGATTCCAATAGAGAATCATTGGGCCTTAATTGTTATAAAGTTCCACAGCAAAGTAAAGCAAAATGGAACAGCCGAAAAGCTGAAAAGGTCGATCATCGGCGCCCAGACGAATTTCGATCCTACTGTAATAGCTAATTTGGCTACCAGCATTTCAAAACGTATTATTGTGTTCCTATGATTATGGGGGGTCATCCCATTATTGAAAATTCGTGACGTTTTTTCGTTATAGTAAAATCTCTCGACAAGTGATGTGTAGTCATATTTGCGAAACGGTGAAAATACGTTCTAAGGAAGATATTTTAATAATTCTGAATCGAGATTTCTCCAGAAATCAAGTATCAAGGTTTTTCGTTATGGGGAAACTATTGGTAATAGCGGCATTTTCCAAAAATGCACAGCAACTTTGGAATAGCAAAAAATTAGGGTGGACCTATATTTATGAAACGCAGTGTATAACAGGCTTCGTATAATGT